AAAAAAAAAATTACCAACAAAAAAAAAGTCCTGGCCCAGATGGTTTCACTGGAGAATTCTACCAAACATTCAGAGAAGAACTGACACCAATCCTACTCAAACTATTCCAGAATGTAGAAAAAGATAGAATCCTCCCAAATTCATTTTAAGAAGCAAGCATAACCTTGATACCAAAACCAGGCAAAGGAAAACTGCAGAGCAATATCCATCATGAATATAGATTAAAAAGATCAACAAAATCCTAACCAATAGACTCCAACAACATATCAAAAAAAAAAAAAAAAAATCATTATGACAAAGTGAGGTTCATATCAGGTATGCAAGGATGGTTCAACAATCAATGTCATCCATCCCATAATTTTTTTAAAAAAAGGAAAAGAACCACATGATCATATCAATTGATGCAGAAAAGGGCATTTGATAAAATCCAACCCCATTCCTGATAAAAATTCTCAGAAAAATAAGAATAGAAGGGAAATTCATCAACATAATAAAGGGCATATACTCAAAGCCAACAGCCAACATTATTGTTAATGGAGAAAAACTCAAAACATTTCCCTTATGAATGGGAACCAGACAAGGATGCCCTCTATCACCACTTCTAATCAACATTGTATTGGAACTCCTAGCTAAGAACATAAAGCAAGATAAGGAAATCAAAAGCATCCAAATTGGTAAGGAAGAAGTAAAACTACCCCTATTTGCTAATGATATGATCCTACACATAGAAAACCCAAGAGACTCAGCAGAAAATCTACTGGAACTAATTGAGAGATTTAGCATAGTGGCAGGATGCAAGATCAATATACAAAAACAGTTGGATTCCTCTACACTAGCAAAGAGATTGCTGAAAAGGAAATAAGGAAATCAATATCGTTTACAATCTTGTTGTTATGTGCCATTGAGTCTGACCCAACTCATAGCAACCCCTCCTTGGGTTTCCAAGGCAATATTTTTGGTAGCTATTGTAAATGGCTCTGGTAGCATAGTGCCTAAAGCACTTGACTGCCAACCATGCCTACAGCATTTGATTGCTAACCAGAAGGTGGCGGTTTAAACCCCCCAGCCACTCCTCAGAAGGAAGATTGGGCAATCTACTTCAGTAGAGATACTGCCTCAGAAACCCAAGAAGGGGTCGCTAAGAGTCCAATAGACTCTACAGAAATGAATTTTTGTTCTGTTTTTTTTTTTTAATTTAAAAAAAAACTAAGCAAATGCTTAGCTAAGAATAAATTAATTTGGACATGTAGTTTATTGAACTGTAAGACATGTTATTTAATTTCAAGAATGAAATATAGCAATCATTACCTCAAAGATAATTGCTCCTTGGATTTCTCATTTTCTTGAAATCATGACAAATTAGAGGTTAGCAGCATTATAATCCACAGACCCAAAGAACTTAGCTTTTAATTATAATGCCTTTTAAAACTCTTTTATAAGGTTACTGCAAAGTTTTCAAATACTAACAGGTACCAAACAGCAGTAAGTATACCATACCCAAATATCAGTAAGTATATCATTCAAAGACTGGCAAAGAAGATTGGAATAGATAGAAGATTTAAAAAGTGACTTCATAATAAAGAATGTTATCACTTATAAAGAAGGACATTATATAATGATGAAAAGGTTGATTATCCAAGGAGCCATGTATACACCTAACAATAGAACTTCAAGATGCAAAAATAAAACCTCCCAGA